TGTTTTCGGCATATTGAATATGCCACAAGGAGCTTGCCAGGCTCTGCTGTGCGGGCGCGGTGCTCTCAGCAGCTTGCCGGGCTCTCCGAGAGGGATAGAGGAATCGAACCCGGGTCGGCAGCGTGCAAGGCAAATGCCCCACCTGCTGTGCTATTGCTCCAGCCCCAAATTTATGCTATTCTTCTTTATTTTTTTCTATATATTGTCCACATTATATACTACATAGATGATATATTTAATCATGTAAATTATGTTTGAATGCCAGTGAGAATTTTTGTGTATAAATTTAGTAATATTCAGTAATTATAAAAGTTAACGTTTATCATTGAAATTTAAATCTAGGCATTCATGATATTTTGTCTTCTTAATTTGAAATGCGAATTTTATAAAAACTCAGATATAAAAAAATTTGTAGTTTTCTTTGAACTAAAAATATCTGTTATAGATGTTAAAAAAATTCTCATTTTAGCAAACACATAATGACAGTAAATTTGTGATTTTGTCCCGTTTCCATAATTTAGTCATAGCTTATTGCATCACTCCAAAATATTTTTTTTTTTTTTTGCTTTTTGGGTCACACCCGGCGATGCTCAGGGGTTACTCCTGGCTCATGCACTCAGGAATTCCTCCTGGCGGTGCTCGGGGGACCACATGGGATGCTGGGAATCGAACCTGTGTCGGCCATGTTGGCTGCATGCAAGGCAAACGCCCTACCCGCTGTGCTATTGCTCCAGTCCCTCCAAAATATTTTTGATACCCATTTATGCCCTCACAACCACCCCTGAAAGCTGCTATTCCATTTTCTGTGTCTATTGTTGTACTTAATCTGACATTTCGCATAAAGAGACTTATATAATATGTGGTATTTTGAATGTGCCTTCTTGGACTTAGTATAATGGTTTCATGGTTTGCCTTTTAAAAAAAAAACATTTTAATGCCCATATAAGGATGTAGAGTATGTACAAATAAAATCAATTAGTTTCTTCCTCCTGAGGGGTTATTTATTTATTTATTTATTTTGCTTTTTGGGTCACACCCGGCAATGCACCGGGGTTATTCCTGGTTCACGCACTCAGTTATTACTCCTGGCGGTGCTCAGGGGACCCTATGGGATGCTGGGAATCGAACCCGGGTCGGCCGCGTGCAAGGCAAACGCCCTACGCGCTGTGCTATCACTCCAGCCCTGGTTTGCCTTTTTTTTTTTTTTAACTACACCTGGTGCTACTGGGGTCTACTTCTGGCTTAGTGATTGGGAGTTACTACTGAAGGTGTTTGGGGGACCCTACAGTGACAAGAATCGAACCCAGAGCATGCAAGACAAGTCCTCGACCACTGAGCCCACATCCCTGACCCTCAAGGTTTATTCTTGCTTCGTAGGCTTCTTTGTGCCTGGGTGCTAGGGATTGGACCCAGGTCGGCTGCATGCATGGTGAGCATCCTACTTGCTGCAGTGTCTCTCCGGGCCTCCCTCTGCTGCTTTTCTTAGGACCCCCAAGTGGTGCTCAGGAGGCCCAGAAGTCTCACCCATGACTCTTGTCCAGTCGGCTGGCATTTCGATGCGAGGACGCCAAGCTGCTCTGGCACTGTGGTGCTCGGCATACCTGGCCACACTGGCTGGCAGTGCCGGGGGCCTCCAGGACTGCACCCAGCAATGCTGGGGGGAAACATATGATGCGGGGAACTGAGCTGACCTAACCATTGGCACTGTCTCCCTGTCCCTATTTGATCCTTCTTGCTGGTTGCATAATATTTCATTGTAAGGGCATATAACTTGAAAAAGATTCTTTCAAGCATTAAAGAACATTTCTATATATTTTTTTCAATGAAATAACAGTGCTTTGGATAGTCATGTAAAAATTTCTCTGTGCACACATTTTTTTCACGTTTCTGGGATAGACACCTACATTAAGTTACATGGTTCCAAAAATTTTGTGCCACTTGACATTTCCACCAGCAATATATGAGAATTCTAGTTTCTCCACATTCTAGTCACTACTTGCTGCTATCTTTTATAGTGCCCCAGTGGATGTGACTACTTGTGGCTGCTTTTTTTTTGGCTTTTTGGGTCACACTCGGTGATGCACAGGGGTTACTCCTGGCTCTGCACTCAGGAGTTACTCCAGGCGGTGCTCAGGGGACTCTATGGGATGCTGGGAATCGAACCCGGGCCGGCCGCGTGCCAGGCAAACGCCCTACTCGCTGTGCTATCGCTCCAGTCCCATTGTGGCTGTTTTTATTTGCATTTCCCTCATGAGACTTATCAAGGATCCTTCTACATGCTTCCTAGACTTTGGAATATTTTCTTTGATTCAATATCTACTCATAGCCTTCGTTCAACTTTTCAGTTTTGAGCATGTATCTTTTCATAATCAAAATACAAAACTTTTAATAAATATATGCCGGATTTCTGGTACAGGCTCCTTATCAAATACACGATTTACAAATATAATTTCAATATATTGTTTATTTTTTTCATTTCCCATCGGATGGGTAATATGTTGACTTCTTAATGCCTCGTTACCATACTTAGGGACCAGGAAAGGATCTCTTCTGTTTCGTTCCTGCTGTCTTTAGAAATACAAATATAGTTTTGAACGCAGATAAAGTCCAATTCAGCTTGTTTTCTTTGACCACCTCTGTTTTGGGTGTTGTATCTAAGAAGTCTTTGCTTAACCCTGACTGTTTTAGATTCAATTCCCTGCAGAGGAACGGGGAGGACAATGTCGTTCCAAGTCATCAAATACACATCCAAGGACCCCAGAAATTAGAACCTGAGTACTCATGCGAATGAAAAGCAACGAGAGGAGGAGGAGGGGGAGGAGGAGGAGGAAGATGTCCAGGCTGGAAAACTGCTGGTGAAAATTTCCTACCCACGTTCATTGTACTGCCAGGAGAAGCGACCCTGAGCCCAGACTAGTATAGTCCAGTTTTTATTTCCTCCAAAGGAACCCAGGTTGGATCCCTGGCACCCCACGTGGTTCCTCAAGCAATGCCAAGAGTGACCCCTAAGGTCAGAGCAAGAGTAAGCCCTGAGCACTGCTGGGTGTGACCTCCCAACAAAGGAGTAGAAGACTAATGCTTTGGGTTGCTTTTTTTTTTTTTTGCTCTGTGTGTGTGTGTGTGTGTGTGTGTGTGTGTGTGTGTGTGTGTTACTGGTGGACTATGCACTCAGGGACTGTATAGGGGGACCGTATGGGGTGCCGGAGATTGAATGAACCTGGTGTAATGAAAGCATCTTTACTTGTTGTACCATCATTCCTCTGTCTGTCTTTGGTCTTGAACTTCCGCTTTTCGGATAGAAAACAACATTAGTGGGTGCAGGCTCCGAGGACCTGCCCTTTCAGAAAGCATCTGATGGTCAGTGGAGGCTGGAGTGAGTGCATTGTAACTTGAGGGAACTGGGGGAGCATGAGTGGGGCCAACCTTATCCGCGGAATATTCTAGAAGACTATCAGACACGGAATCCATAGAGATTTATTTAGAAGGACAAGTTTTAGAGGGACAGGCCTGGGTGTGTAGGAAGAACTAAAGGATGGACAGGCTTCAGAAGTGAATGCGTTAAGGGCAGCGAGAGGAGACGAACGTTGCTGCCGAGAGGTTGGAGGAGGATGCAAAATTGGACATCTGGGGAGGTTTGATTATTATTATTATTATTTGTTTTTTCCTTTTTGGGTCACACCTGGCGTTGCACAGGGGTTCCTCCTGGCTCATGCACTCAGGAATTCCTCCTGGCAGTGCTGGGGGTGGGGGGAACCCTATGGGATGCTGGGAATCGAACCCGGGTCAACGATTGCAAGGCAAACGCCCTGCCCGCTGTGCTATCTCTCAATCACTCCAGCCCCCAGAACTTTTTCTCCCCATGAGGCCAACTTCTCTTCAGCCCTGCAGGCAGGTGAAACTCCGCCTTTTAAAGCACAGAAACAACAACACTCCCCAAAAGTGTCTACGGAGGGGGGTGGTCCTACTGATTGATAGAGACATTTATCAAAATGCACTGAAGATCTGTCCGTTTTATTGCATGGGATCAAACCTCCCTCCCCAGGGGCTGCAGCCCTCCAACTCGGGGTGGGGGGGTGGGATAGGGGGGGGGGTTCTTCTCCAAGTCCGGCGAGAACTCACTTGGGTGCAAAAAAAAAAATAAAGCCGTTGGCTTTGTTCAATACCTGTAGAACGGAAGGTGGAAAAATGACTTCGGGGGGGGGGTCGGATGGGGCGGGGGAGGAGCGACCACCACGGGGGGTCCGCGCGCCCTGGGAGCCGCAGCCGGCAGGACCCGGTGCACAAATCCTCCTCGTTCTTGACCTGGGGCGCTCAGGGCGCATTTCCCCCACCCCGGGTGCAGCATCCACGGGCGTGCCCCTCCCCCACCCCCACCCCCAGCGCTCGGGAAGAGGACGGGGTGCTGCTCGCTGGGACGCGTGCACGGGTCTTGCAAGCCAGCCGGGCGGGCCGTCTTTGCAGCCGCTGCAAATGTTGCAGCGGCTGCAAATGTTGCAGCGGCTGCAAATGTTGCAGCCGGCTGCAAATGTTGCAGCCGGCTGTGCTGTGGAGCACAGAGTGGAGGCTCTAAGTTGGGGGCTGGGGGGGCTGGGGAGCTGGGGAGCTGGAGGAGGGGCGGGGCCGAGGTTGGCCCGCGCGCCGTCGTCTCGCGCCCAGGATGTCCCGGGAACCTTCCCCTGCAAAGTATCCAACCGAGTCCCCGAGGAGCGCGTGTGCGCGCGCGCGCGCGCCAAAGGCACCGTCGCCCCCATCCCCCCCGCGCTCGGGGCGCACGGAGCGCGGCTCGACCTCCGCACTCGGGCTTCACCTCCGGCCGCCGAGCGCACGCCTTGGGCACCTCCTCCTCCTCCTCCTCCTCCTCCTCCTCCTCCTCCTCCTCCTCCTCTGCTCCTCCTGCTCCTGCTCCAGCTCCTGCTCCGGCTCCAGCTCCTGCTCCGGCTCCTGCCGGTCGTCGGAAGCCGCCGGGAGTCCGTCGGCGGCGCCTTCGGGGGCTTCGCACGATGCCCAACGACGACGCGTTCTCCAAGCCCGCGGCCCCGTCGGAGCCGCAGCACGCGCCGGGGGCGCCGCCGCAGGGCAAGTCCGGGGCCTTCGCCAAGGCGGCCGGGGCGCTGCTGGGCCCCCCGGGAGGAGGCGGCTCCGGCGGCTCCGGCGGCTCCGGCGGCTCGGGCTCCGGCTCCGGCTCCGGCTCGGTGCCGGGCCCCGGCGGCGCGGCGGGCCTGGGCGCGGCGGCGGCGGCGGGCAAGAAGTCCCCGCGGCTGCCCAAGTGCGCGCGCTGCCGCAACCACGGCTACGCGTCGCCGCTCAAGGGCCACAAGCGCTTCTGCATGTGGCGCGACTGCCAGTGCAAGAAGTGCAACCTGATCGCCGAGAGGCAGCGCGTGATGGCCGCGCAGGTGAGCGCGGGGGGCGCCCCGCACCCTCCACCCCACCCTCCTCCGGGCTGCGAGGCGGTGCGCGGCGGGGCGGTGCGCGCGCGGGGCACCGGTGCGGCCAACTCCAGGGGGCTCCGGGCTCGGTGCGCCCGGGTGGCTGCGGCCCAGGGGCCGGGTGCGGGGCTGGGGGGCGGGGGGCGCGGGGCGCGGTGCGGGGCTGGGTGCGCGGGGCTGGGTACGGGACTCGGTGGCTGCAGCCGCGGGGCTCGGTGCGCGGTGGCTGCCGTCGCGGGGCTTGTTGCGGGCCTCGTTGCGGGGCTGGGTGCTGGGCAGGGTGCGGGGCTGGGTGCGGGGCAGGGTGCGGGGCAGGGTGCGGGACTGGGTGCGGGCCTCGGTGGCTGCAGCCGCGGGGCTGGTCCACGGCGACGACTCCCCAGCACGCGCCCGCGCCCGCGCGCAGACGGAGCCGGGAGTTGGACTTTGCGCTTTTTCTCTCTCTCTCTTTCTTTCTCTTTCTTTCTTTCTTTCTTTCTTTCTTTCTTTCTTTCTTTCTTTCTTTCTTTCTTTCTCTCTCTTTCCTCTCTCTCTTTTTCTTTCTCCCTCTTTTTCTCCTTCTCTCTCTCCCTCCCCATCCCTCCGCGCGCCCTTCCAGGCGGTCGGGTCCAGCGTTGCGCCCCCTCCCAGCCCCCCACCCCGGACCCCCGCACTCCGGAGTCTAGACGCGTCGGCCTGCGGGGCTTCGCTCTCGGGCTCCGTCCCGGCTTTTTTTTTTTTTTTTTTTGCTTTTTTTTGGCTTTTTTTTTTCCTTCCAGATTTTTTTTTCCCCCGTCGAGGGGGTCCGTGCGCGCGCGCGCCGCCGCCTCGGGGCGTCTCCGGGGCTCTGAGCTCTAGAGTTGCGGGATGGGGAGGGGGACGGGGGTCGTCGCCCCCGTCGGGGGTCCCGGGAATCGGCTCGGACCCTTTTCCCACCCCCGCCCCTCCCCCACTCCCAGCGGAGCTCCGCGCGCGGGGGAAGAAATCGGGCGGGCGCGTTTGGAACGGCGGCGGCGGCGGCGCGGGGCGGCGCGGGGCGGGGCCGGGTGGGCGGCGCGGGCGCCCCCAGCGCTTCTTCCCGCGCCCCCCGTCTCGGCCGTTTTGCACGTCGGCACCTTTGGGGTCTGCGCCCGGGGGTCTGTTCCACGAGTCACTTTGCAGGCGCTTCAAAAAAAAAAAAATCAAAAAAACACCCAAAAAAACCACTTTTTAAAATTTACTTTTATGTTTTTATACTTAAGCGCAGGGGATAAAATAATGCGCAGAGCTGAGGTTTTGGTCAGGTTCGTTTTTTTGGATTTTAGTTTAGGTTTTTTTTTTGCTTTTTTTTTTTAATTTTAAAGAACTCTAAACAGGGAGCGAATTTTTTTCTTTTTGCATTTTTTGCAGGTTGCTCCTGGGTCTGCAAAGAAGCTGCGTCAGCTCTTTATTTTTATTTATTTTTATTTTTATTTTTTTGCTTTTTGGGTCACACCCGGCGATGCTCAGGGGTTACTCCTGGCTCATGCACTCAGGAATTGCTCCTGGTGGTGCTCGGGGGACCATATGGGATGCTGGGAATCGAACCCGGGTCGGCCGCGTGCAAGGCAAACGTCCTCCCTGCTGTGCTATCTCTCCAGCCCCAAACAGGGAATAAATTTAACACCTCATCCGAAATAGTTGTTATCCTCAGTAGCCTAAAAGGATTTTTTTCCCCCCAAAGGAAAGCAGAACATAGGATATTGCAGCGTATAGTAAGGAGAAGACAGATTTTTTTTTTTCCTAGCTAAAAAGCTGTTCTGTCGTTTTAAGGCAGATGACTCCAGAACATTCCCGAGAGATGATTGATTAAAATTCGATCGGTGCCCCCCACTTCTGATTGGCATCTCTGAAGCTTTCTTCCGTTGGAAAATCATCGAGATAAGAACAGATTCTCGGATGCCTGTTCGATGAGCGTAGGATTTTTGTGTTTGAAGGATTCTCAGATTTTCTGAGAATTTTCTGGCTTTCGTAGGTCACAAGGAAAGTCATAAAAATGGATTTTTTTTAAAAACTTCTTTACAGATTTTTAGTATTTAGTGGACACGAATGAAACCGTAGTAGTAAAATGCACCCCTGTGAGTTTAATGAAAAAAAAAAAGGTTGATTGTCCATAAGTTGTTAATTGTCCAAATCTTGTTAATTGTCCACTAAAAAATTGTTAATTGTCCATTAAGAAAAATATTCTGAACATTTACTGCTCGACTTAAATGTTTAGTGCAGAGTAGGCGGGAAGTCTCCTCCAAATGCAGATTAAAATGCTCTTCAAGTCGGAGTGTTAATTTTGCATAAGTTTTTTGAGTAGGGTCACTCACTTTGATGAAGTCTGTCTTCTTCTCTGTTTGAAAGAAAAGCAAGGGAGTACGCCTATACCGTGCAACTCTCTTATTTTCTATCCGAGGAAGCTTGTGCGATATACTGGATTAATTTGAACAACCCACTGTAATAACCGTTTTTAAGTTACTCTAAAATAGATTCACGTCGTTTGCTAGGTGGAAGATTCCTCTTGATAGATAGGAGTAAATTTACTTCCACATCAGTCAGCTTTCTTCACCCCGACTAGTTTCCCTAACTAGTCTACAAATTGTGCGTGCGTTCCTGGTTTTACTGTTGGGTATGAGCTTTGCCTGTATGTGGGCCTCGGAAGTTCAGGTACTTCACTTTCTCATGTCATTCTCACCGGGTGTCAGTTTATTTTCTACTACTCTTTCCCAAACCTTTAACAATGTTTTTTTTTCTCCCTTTTCTTTTCTAAAGCAGATAAAAGGAAGAGGGAACTTGGAGAGTCTGGGTTTTTTTAAAAAATTTTTAATTAATTAATTAATTAATTAATTAATTTTTATTAGTGAAACACCATGAGGTACAGTTGTAGATTTACAATTTTTTGTGCTTGGGTTTGATTATACAATGATCAGATACCCATCCCTCCACCAGTGCCCATTTTCCACCACCATGGATAATATCCCCCCCATGGGTTTGTGTTTTTGGTTTTTTTTGTTTTGTTTTGGGGGGCAACAGTGCTCAGAGATCACTGTGTCTGGATGGAAGTCGGGTGGGCTTATGTACAAGGCAAAGCACCTCCCTGCTATCCTGTCCCTGCAGAAGGTCCTACCGTCCTCTACTTTCAACCTATTGTCCCATTACTTATTCATACACCCATTTCACCCCCAGAGAACAGGGCCCTGCCCTGACTAAACACCCCCCACCTTCTCCTCTTGATGCAAACTCTGTTCCCTTATTTCAGATTATTCTTTCTTTACACACACACACACACACACACACACACACACACACACACACACAGAGTCCTACCATTCCTCTTTAGGCCCTGTTTCCTCCTAGTCCACTTTATTCAGCCACTGATTAGCTGATGATTGATTTGGGCATGAACGCCACCTTACTTTTATTTTTCTTTTCCCCCAGAGTTTTATTTATTTATTTTTCTTCTGATATTTATTTATTGAACACTTCTGTCTGATGCTTAGGGCTTGCCTTGGGCTGTCCGGGAAGGCAGGAGGTCATACCCAGCAGTGTTCACTGTGAACACTATGATCCATGGCACTGCTCTGGCAACCACATGTGCTAACTGGGCGTTGGAACCAGTCAGCGGAATAGCTGCGGGGCGGGCACCTTAGTGTCCCTCTGGCCTGAACTTCTTGTGTCTGAAGCCATCGTGGTCTGAATCTCTCCTATGGGTTTGGCACATATCTGATGGCGTCTGTGGTTTGCCTCATTTACTTTAGAATTGAATTATTTTTTTATTTTTTATTATTTTTTTTTTGCTTTTTGGGTCACACCTGGTGATGCGCAGGGGTTCCTCCTGGCTCTGTACTCAGAAGTTACTCCTGGCGGTGCTCGGGGGACCATATGGGATGCTGGGAATCGAACCCGGGTCGGCCGCGTGCAAGGCAAACACCCTACCCGCTGTGCTATCGCTCCAGCCCTAGCATTGAATTATCTGCCTTCTGTTTCTCCTTTCAGACAGCGCTGACCTGAGGATCTGATCTAATCGGGCCGTTTCTTGCTCTAACTCCTAGTCCCAGTCCAGTGGCCTTTGTCCGTGCCACGCAGGCATAAGATTTCCCTCTTTCCTCTCCCTCTTTCCTCTCACGGTGGGTTCCCACCCTTCTGGTTGAACTCCCTCCACCCTGTCTAGATTTTTCTGAGCCTCTCCAGCCAGCCTTACTTTTCCTCCGATTTACTCTTTTGCTTCTTCACATCTTGGGGGGCATGCACGGTGGACCCAACTCCTGCTGCCAAAACCGTTTTTCCGTGTTGTCCATCGTTTTCCTGGGGCGCTTGCAAAAGCCAACGGGAGATTTGTCAGAGCTGCTCCCCAGAGCTTAGTTAGGACTCTGGGTGTCTGGGGGGGAGCCAGGGCGTCAGTGATCTGGGCTGAGTTGGCATAGTGATACCAGCAGGCTGAAGAATCACCCGCTGCCCTGTGTGTGCTTCCTTCCAGGTAGCTCTGAGAAGGCAACAAGCCCAGGAGGAGGAACTGGGGATCAGTCACCCCATCCCGCTGCCCAGCGCGGCTGAATTGCTGGTCAAGAGAGAGAACAACGGCAGTAACCCCTGCCTGATGACTGAGAGCAGCAGCTCCTCACAGCCGCCGCCGCCGCCCAGCACTCCCACCACTGCCGCCTCAGGTGAGGACCCTGGGCTGGGCTGGGCTGGGGGTCCCTCTGGGGCTGGCCCTGAGCGAACAAGCAAGCCCAACCGTCTGCCAGCTTCTGGGTTCCAACATAGATTCGTGCACTGGCGATGTTCTTAATTCTTCCTAAAAAAAAAAAAAACCTCCCCGTTGGCTTGCCTCAGGAAGATGTTGGCTATGAATTCTGGAATTTTAAGTCCCACGGCTTCCCGGTCCGGTGTTTAGCCGAGACTCAGACTCCTAGAAGGTCAGAAGAGTCAGTCACATTCCAGGGCTCGCCACTCCTCTGTTTCTCTTGTGTGAGTGGGGACTCTAAGTTCCTCAGAACTGCAAGTTCTTTTCTGGCAGCGACTGTGATCTGTTGGGGAAAATTGTCTGGAAAGACCAAATTCTAGGTATCAGATTTTGAATATGCATCGGGAAATGAGAGAGTGTTCTATTGCCTTAGAGGGTTTCTCCTGTACTAAGAGTGGCTTAGGGGGTATATACAACATATATATATATATATATATATACACACACACACACACACACAACCTATATATATACAACCTATATATATATACAACCTATACATATACAACCTATATATATACACAGCATATATATATATACAACCTATCTATCTATCTATCTATATATATATATGGGGGTATATACAACCTAATATATGTTTCATTTCAGTCTCAGCAACTGAAGTATTAATCCTGTATCACTTATGTGAAAATTGGGGTGTAGGAAGTTCAGTGACTGGCTATGTTTAACTGGGGGAAGGATCGGACGCCATCTGCCTTCTAAGCTTCAGGGCTTACTTAAATAATGCCCTTCCAAATTACCTTAAGAAACCTAGTGGATGGATGCCGCCAATCATGTGGCCGTTTAAATGGAAATGAATCACAATGGATTTAAATGGATGTAGGTAAATATGAAATATTCGGTCACCAATATAAAATGCTTCTATAAAATACCCATTTGTAGAAAAGAAAACGCGTACAAAATGTGTATATCCACAATGTACACCTGAAAAGGTATCGATGCTCTGAAATGCAAATCAAACTTACGGTGATCTATGTCCTCTGGCCTATTAAGATAGCTACTTACCAAAAAAAAAAAAACAGGAAGTAAGTATTGGTGAGGATGGAAAGAAATCAGAACTGTTGAATCCATTGGTGGGAATATAAAATGGTACATCTGCTGGTGCCCGCGTGAGCAAATTGATGAACAACGGGAGGACAGTGCTACCTCTGCTCTGAGGAAGAATTTGGGGTACGTTAAGAAATTCAGCGTTTTTATATTTTCCAGGGGCTGGAGTGATAGCACAGCAGGTAGGGCACTTACTTTGCACGCAGCCGACCCGGGCGGACCCTGGTTCGATTCCTCCCGCCCCTCTCGGAGAGCCCTGCAAGCTACCGAGAGTATCTCGCCCACACGGCAAAGCCTGGCAAGCTCCCCGTGACATACTCGATATGCCAGAAATCGTAACAACAAGTCTCACAATTTGTTGTGAGACGTTACTGGTGCCCGCTCGAGCAAATCGATGAACAACGGGAGGACAGTGATACAGTGATAAGTTTTCCAGAAATTTTACATCTGGGTGTGTAGACATCACTAAGATCGACATCAGTATCTCAGAAGATACACACCCTTGATAGAGCATTATTCCGAAGAGTAAAAATGTAGAAGTCACCCAGCTAATCACGGACCGTTGGATGGGTCAACAAAACGTGTTATACACACAGACGCACAAATTCTATAGCCTTTAAAAGGGGAGTATGACACATGCCACAATATAATAAAATGAGGAAAATAGGCTGTGTGAAATTAGAGTCACAAAAAGGCAATAATGTGTAATTCCAATTTAGAAAGTTTCTGAGTCAAAATTAGAAAAGCGAATGGTGGTTGTCAAGCGCTGGCACAGAGGAATGGAAATTACTCTTTTAAAGGGTCCAGTTTCAATGAAATGAGAATAAAATATGGAGACAGATGACAGCATTTTCTTTTCTCTCTATTTTTTTTTTTTGCTTTTTAGGTCACACCCGGCAATGCACAGGGGTTATTCCTGGCTCTGCACTCAGGAATTACTCCTGGCAGTGCTCAGGGGACCATATGGGATGCTGGGAATCGAACCAGGGTTGGCCGCTTGCAAGGCAAATGCCCTACCCACTGTGCTATCGCTCCAGCCCCGATGACAGCATTTTCAATGTATTGTCACTGAACTCTGCTGGTGTTAGTCATGCTTCAGTCATGTGTATTGTATATACACGAACATTGAAAAGAATTGAATGTTCAGATCGGTTTCACTTAACCCCGTTTCAAGGCGTGAGGGTATCTATTTCAAGGAGTATAGCTGAGGGGCTCTGAATTGAATGGTGCATTTCAGTTACTCAGAAAGTTCCATTTGACGGCACTGGTTTCAAGTGCTAGAACCTTAAAGACATTGAACAGGTCTGTGAAATTCACTTGGAAAAAAAATGAGTATTACATATGAAAACCATGGCTTACAAATGACAGAAATGTCTTGCTTGGGACCCAACCGCAGCAGTGCCTGGGGTCTGCTGGCTCAGTGCTTGCGCTGGGGTGGGGACACCATGTAGTCCTTGCGGAGGACAAACCTGATGCTTCCTCGTGCAAAGCATGTGCTTGAGAATGTTCAGCCTTCTCCTCGGTCCTACAGGATGTTTGTAGGGCCTGTTCCGGGTCCGTGAAACAGAGCCTTGCGGTGTCGGATCTGCTTGTCTAGGTTTTCATACTTGACACAGTTTGCTGGGCTTAACTCCTAGGTAAGGTCAGGGGCCTATTGATCAGCTGTGCCACTTTGAATCAGTCGCTTACAGTCTCTGAGCCTACTGTTCCTTCTCAGAAATGAGGAAAGTTTCTGTGCAGTTTGAAGATGTTGTGAATTTTGAATATTAAAAAGGAGAAAGTGGTCAGCAGGTTAGCATTGGAGTCTGCATTGCAGGCAGGTGTGTCTTTGGGTTACTGGGGACAAAGATTCTGTGACGGACAAAGAGTAGTGCTCTGAGTTGCTCATAAGATAGGTACTTATAAAAAATGGTTCCCAATTTCACTTTTTTTTTTTTGCTTTTTGGGTCACACCCAGCGATGCACAGGGGTTATTCCTGGCTCATGCACTCAGGAATTACTCCTGGCGGTGCTCGGGGGACCATATGGGATGCTGGGAATTGAACCTGGGTCAGCCACGTGCAAGGCAAACGCCCTCCCCGCTGTGCTATCGCTCCAGCCCCTCAAATTTCACTTTTTGTAGGAAGGACATTGCCTCTTAGAAATGGTTGTAAGCGGTTTCTAAAACTGAATGGTCAGGAATTCCGAAGACGGTTTTCCCTGGTGAACTTAGCTGGTGTGTTGAACTGCAGAGAGCATTTCGAGGGGAGTCATTAAATGGAGAGAGTAACTCATGTGTTGTTTACAGAGTTCTTAGAAGGAGGGAATTATCACTTGCATTTACAGGTACGGAGACTAGTGTTAGAAAATGTTAAGGAAATTGCCCCAGGATGAAGCTGAAACTGAAGTGGGACTTAACTCAGGCCTGCTAGTACTTTCCATTTCATCTGCCTGCAAAGATTGAGTGAGGGAATCTGTTGTCGTGTTCCTTGGAAGAAATGGGCTGTGGTTGACTGCTCGGAAGGGACTCAGGATTAGTGGGTAGAAGAACAACGTTCGGGGCAGAAGTCCCTGCCATTCTCCATTGGCACAGAAGGCAACAGCCGTTGTTCTTTGTGGTAAGATACACAGCAAAGACCCATGATGGATGAATGTCAGTGTAGGTGGTCAACTTCGGCCCGAGCTGTGTCCTGTGTTCACCTTAGGGAAGGGGAATTAGCATTTGATTGGACACTCCAAGAAGATGAAGCGTTGAGAAGAATTTCATGCTGGGTGGACTCAGGTTGGTAGACTTCTAGCAGGGTATTTCTGAGTGGGGAGAGAAGGAACGTTACATGAAGGAAAGCAGGGGAGCCAGAAAGTTGAGTGTCCGGTATTCATATTGCAAACCATGAAGCCCCCAAGTAGACAGTGTGGGGGAAATTGTCTGCCATAGAGGCAGGGAGGATACTGGGGACATTGGTGGTAGAAATGTGCACTGGTGGAGGGATGGGTGTTCGATCAGTGTGTGCCTGAAACTCAGACATGAAAGCTTTGTAACTATCTCATGGTGATTCAATAAAAAAAAAGAAAGTTGAGTGTCAAAAAGGATATGATATCAGACAGTCCCTTTGCCTTATAGCCTCGGTGATAGGCGCCGGTAGGCCTCAGTGTTATTTTGAGGTCTTGAACTCAGAAGGAATATGGAAGCCGTTGGTTGGTTGTGCTCAGGTGTGGCCTGGCAGGAATCCTTCTGGAGGCTTTGCTGCCCTGGGAAGATGAACCCTCAGGAGCCAGCTCCTTCCTGTGTTGCATTTGGGTGGTCACAACACTTCTTCAAAGCTCTTGAGTTTTTCACCATACAAGTGCCAGGAGTGAACCTGCAAGCCAAGTGCCCTGCCCACTGTACTATCTTTCCGGCCTCTGTAGCAATTTCTTGCCCTTCCAGAATCAGATGCTAGTGTTGGTGGTCAGCAAATAGTTTCTTCCTAGACCATTTTTGGTAGCACTCAACAAAAAATGAACATTTTTGGTTAAGAAATTATAACGAATGAATGAATAGCAACTTCAGCGTTGTTTCTGGTTTTACTACTTAAATTTTAGCATACAGTATATATTTTAATTTCAGTGTTTAGCAAAACAAACAAACACACACTGTCCTCCGGTTGTTCATCAATTTGCTCAAGCGGGCCCAGTAACGTCTCCATTGTAAGACTTCTTGTTACTGTGTTTGGCATATTGAATACTCTCGGTAGCTTGCCAGGCTCTCCGAGAGGGGCGGAGGAATCGAACCCGGCTCGGCTGGGCTGGCTGCGTGCAAGGCAAACGCCCGACCACTGTGCTGTCAGGCAATGTTTAGCAATTTAAAAAAAAATATCTCATTACAGACATAGA